CTTTCATTTTAACTACTGACGTACTAACAATAATTGCGGAAAGAGTTTATTATGCTCTAGATAAAAACACTGAAGCATGGGCTGTAGCATTAGACATCTCAAAAGCCTTTGACAGAATCTGGCATACATGTCTTCTCTACAAGCTGAAAAGTTGCAGTGTCTCTGGATACATTTTTGAGATGATCCAGTCTTTCCTATCAAACCATAAAATGAAAGTTATCCTGAATGGCCACTTGTCTAGATCCTTTCATACTGGCTCCATCCTTGGTCCAACACTGTTTTTAATTTTCATGACCTTCCCAATGACATCAGCTCTCAACTTGGCATCTATGCTGATGACACAACCATTTACCCCTATCTTGATAGACTAATCAATCCAACAAGGTCAAAAATGGTAGATGATGTACAAAACAACATTAAGTCTATCGTTAACTGGGGCAAAAGATGGCTTGTCAATTTTAACACCTCCAAAACAAAACTGCTCTATATCTGCAAGATCACTCTCTGCCTTCCATCAGCATGGCTGACGCTAACCTTCAGGAAAGAAACACATTGCACCTTCTCATGCTAATGTTCTCAGCTGACATGAAGTGGAAAGACTATATTAAATCCATTGCTAGGTCAGCTGCTAAGAAAGTTGGTACACTGTGTCGTGTGAGAGAATTTTTCTCTCCAGAATCTATCTTATATATATTCATTCATGCTTACAATATTGCTGCCACATACATCCTGGCGCCCCTGCTATTTACCTTAACTTCCTTGATAAGATCCAAAGAAGAATCAGCACTATTATTGGTACTGATCTTGTGGCTCAGCCTCCATCACTTTCTTATCACTGTAAGGTTGCCTCTTTGTGTCTATTCTATAAATACTTTCTTGTTAATTGTTCAGATGAGCTCTTCTCTATGTTACCTAGACTTTATGAATTTAAACACAGTATGAGACTGGTGTTGAGATCTCATCAGTTTGCAGTTGAACTAGATGCAGCCGTAAGTTCTATGCTAATAGTTTTTCTTTTCTTGCACTTCTCACTTGTGGAACTCCCTTCTGGCTCCATTCTTTCCAGCCAACTTTAATCTGCAAAAATTTAAATCCAATGTCAATCACTGTATATTGTATTCTTGATTGCTCTTTTCTCGTTCAGCTCATTATTAATGTTTCTGTTCCTAGTTCTTCCACACTCTGTAATCCCTTGTGTTTTAATGGCTTTACTGCCTTGCTTGGGGTGATTACAATTAAAAAAAAAAAAAAGATTCAATATTTCAATTTAATTCACATGAACACTTAGTAAGAATGTGTACATATAAAATGTGAATCAATTATTATCTGTATTTAAAACTATTTTTATCACTGACATGACTTGAAGCATTATACTTTCAAGTTGGAAATGAAATACAAATATTTTTATACTGTTGTTCATATAATAAAAGGCCCAAGAGTCTCTTAAAGTAGAGGGTTAACGAATGAGGTTATTGTACAGGTATACAAAGAGTATATTATGAGGATATGTAGGGTAGATAACAGTTGAACCTGGACTTGAAGAGGTTAACACTGTAGCAATTGGGGAAGAGTTTTGAATCTGATCCTGTGTAACAAAGCTGGGGAAAAAGTTGCCTGACTGGAACTTCCTCTTTCTAAATGGAATATGAAAGGAATGAAGATTAGCTGACTGTGATTTACTGAAGAAAATGTGCCTCTCAATAAGAATCTAAACTGTATTCCATTATTAATATGAAAACCATTTTTGTGAGGTATATTTTCTTTTCAGTAAACATTAATTTCAATGTTTAAAAAAAAAAAGAGGGATGGCTTCTCAAAAACATGTACAAACTGAATGTAATGTTTTTTATTTTTAATCATTTCACTCTGAGGAAGGCAGGAATGCTACTAGTATGTCAGGGTGTTACAGGGAATGAAAGGGAAAACTGGGAATATAGGAGGATTTAGGAAAAGCAAGAAGACAGAAGATGTTATTAAACATTTAAATTTAGTGGGGGTTGCATTTAGCTATTTCAACAATAAAAGGGTGGGATCTAGATGCCAATATAGTACCAGACTTAGATTCATGTAGTCAGGGTGCCAAGGAAAGAAGTGTGTTAGAGCAGTTGCCATGAAAATTTTTGTAGAAAAGACAGAGGGAAGACATGCCATGTCGGTAAAAGTGAATAAAGTTAAGATAACTGGTTAGGATCAATTATATTACAGATCCTTCTTTGGATTGTCAAGAGTCTCAAGATGTACATCAGAAACACCAGACCAGATATGGCAATAGTATTCAATGCACAAACAAATGGTAGATTTGTAAACATGCAAGATAGAATCAGACAAGAAAAATTTTGTTGCACAACATGGTGACACAATTTTCCTTGCAGCAGCTTTGGATTCAGTGTAGTCGATCCACTTTAAGTCAGTGAGAAACCATTTATAGCATATGTATATATATATATATATATATATATATATATATATATAAGGTTGAATGATAATCACACAAATATGAAATACAGAAGACAATTTGGAAAAAGTTTTACCTTGATAGTGTGATTAAAATAAATTATTTTATCTCAAATAAAATCTACAGAAGTAAGACAAAATTTGATTTTTATTTCAACTGTATCATTATAGAAATCTAGAATTTGGTTTTGTGAAATAGGATCCTTTTTCTTACAGTGCAAATCATCGGTAAAACATGACAAGTCCAAAAATTTTCAAAACTGTCATATATGTTTCCCCATATATAAATTAATAAAATCATAACCTTATCATCTTGACTTCATGGCATTGTTGTCCTTAGACATTCTTCTACGTGTTGCTTCTCTTTGAAACATATGCAATCATAGCTCTCCACAACTTCCTATCCCTTGTGGCTCTTAGCAGTTTTTTTCTATTTATTAGGGCTACTCATTCCCAGTTCTGCCATCCATTCACACAAGCTCATAAGGTAATTTGCTCACTGCTTTCCCCTATCTCTCTTGCCCTCAATATGCACTGTGAAGGTTAAGTTTTCCAAGCCCTTTTTCCTCATCAAGTTTCCAAGGAATTTCAGTTATGTTTTCCTGATTCTGAGTGTAAGTGTTCTTTTTATTACCATTTTCTTTAAGACTTCATTGTTGCTTACTCAGTTTGTCCATGGAATTTTCAGTATCTTTCTGTAGAACCACATTTCTGCTAGTTTTTCTAGTTTTCTTCTCATCTATGGGGAGATTGTCCAACATTCACTGCCATATAAACCCTTCAGATAAATCTTCATCATTTACTTGATGCCATTATTTATATTACAAACTGTCAGCCACATACCAGAGATGGGCAGCTCCTTATCAACAAGAAGACTTTCCTTCATCATTCAGATTCCCAGTACTAAGACTTCAGAGTAATAGTGAGATTATCTGTTCCCATACAGGACACATGTGGCACTTATTAGCCAACTTGTTAGGATTGCTTTCTATTGAAATTTCTAAAATCTTTCTCTTAAAATAGTTTTTCAGGAAGTTAGATTTCTCAAGTTAACTAACTTTTTCTAGTATTGATGGGATTTTCTTTCCAAACCTTTTGTTTTTAATCATGCAGAAAGTCAACATCTTGATTTTTTTTCCTTTAAGTTATTTTGCTATCCATTTTAGTCGTTAATCCTGTTAGAATTATTCAAGTGATGTGGTTTTTGTTATTTGTTTGCAACTCTGTAGTGACAGTTTGTAAGATCTGATGACAGATTTGTAGAAGGGAAAATGGTTTACCTCCTGGAACAAAATATGCTTATACATGTCTCATATGCAAAATACATGAAAGAAAATATGGCTGATCCAAAAGCTATAATTTAAGAACAACTAGAGCTCAGAGATTTTGCAAGACAAATTTGTGGCTTATGCAAATTTCTAAGCCTCGGCCACTTGATAAAATGAGCACAAGTGAATGAACATCTGACAGGCAACAGAGGCTGGAGAGTCAAGGGGTCATGCTTTGTGTGTAGAGACTCAGGGTACTCTCACCAATTGTGACTGAAAAGAAGATCAGGAACAACAGGTACTCCAAACCATTGTAACTTTTTTGCTACAGGATTGTCTTCTCTCAGACCTACAGGATCTATTCACTTGAAACTATACTTAACTATCTCTACAGGTACTAATTAACCAATATTAATTAAGCTGTAAAACAGTGCTTCACTAATTGATTGATTTGTGGACACTTGGAGTAAATAAGAAAATGCTTTTCTCATCCAAAGTGGCAGTGCACTTACAGGCTCAGGGCTTACTGATTGCTTTAAACAGGAGAAAGCATCTTTCTTTCTGCTTTTTATGTGTCATGTCTTTTCAGGACGTAGGTGATCATGGCTCTCTACCTCCTCCCTCTATCCCTTGCAGCTCTCAACAAGTTCCTTACCTCTGCTTCCTCCCCCAGACCACATTCTGTCATCCACTTGCTTAAATCCTCCAGGTATGTCACGCATTGTTTTTTTCCCTTGTCTCTCTTTCTCTCTATTCGACCCATGAGTATCAGATTCTCCAGGCCTCCCTTCCTGATTATGTGTCCCAGAAGCTTCAGCTGCCTCTTCCTGATATTAAATATAAGCCTCCTCCTTGTTTGCAACCTCTCTAAGATCTCATCATTGTTCACACATCCATGATATCCTTAGCATCCTTCTGTAGAACCACATCTCTGTCACCTTGAATTGAAAGCATAATAAGATAATAGATACTTACAATTGGTGGTAATATTTCAGCCTATTTCAACCAGATTAATACAGACAGTGTGCTTTGTTCCTAAATGACATCTTAAACAGACATCTCTGCAAACAATTGCATGCTGATCAGCCCATGTGAAGTAATAAATACAGTGTGACCAAAAAATTTTCCTTCTGAATTTTATATCATAAACTTAAGAAATTACTCAGAACTCTTCTTTTATTCAGAATGTGAGAGATCATGGCTCTCCACAACTTCCTATCCTTTGTAGCTCTTCCAAATGTTCATCTTCTTACTATCCCTCTCTCTCCCTATTGGATTTATGGCCACATCATGTTGAAACACCAATTCCCATATGATCAACAAAGTTAAGGAACATTGAGCTTGCTCAGTACCTAGATGGGGGGGGTGGGCACTTGGGAATACCAGGTGCTGTAAGCTTGGATGTGCAAGTGGTGTCATTGTTAATCAGGGAGCCGAGTTCAAATTCCCACTGTGTTTGTTATATCCACTTACACGCAAATACCCTTAGGAAAGGTATGAATTCAACTCTTCTCCCCCAGCTATGGGTTAATTAGTAAGACTTGTATTACTAAAAACCATTATTATCACAAAAAAACTTCTTACAATCTAAAAATATTTTCTGGCTTTAAATAACCTGCAAAAGGTTGATAATCTGTAAAAAACGGATCAATCAATCTATCCCTATTCTGTGCTTTATTTACAAAAACTTGTTAAGCAGCTTACTCACTGTTTCTCCTGCCTCACTTGACTTCAATATGTCCTACTGCTTAGAACAAGAATGAAAAGACATTTATCAACATTCATTTCCATAATTTCATGTGGAGCCCAGCTTCTAGCCTTTGAACTTTTTTTAAAACTTGTAAGTTTGAATTGTAGGGGGATGGCAGATATGCCTGAGTGATGCAATGTTTGCTTTGAGTAAAATGATGAGCACAACCATCATACAGTCTATAAGCTTGCTCAGTGGCATCTCACTGCTAACTGAGTAACTCCATGAGAGAGTGTTCACAGATGTACAGTAATGTCTCCACTAATTGGTTGTCAACTTACATTAAGGTTGCATTATCAGTTCTTGAGATATTCAAAATGGCTGAAAATTTAAAGCTATACAGATTTTTTAAAATTATTTCACTCCAAACAAGATAATGAAGTCACTAAAACACAAGGGGGGTAGCTGAGTGTGAAAGAATAAGAAAAATTAAATTAAGAATTATTAAAGAATGAGAACAGTAAAAGAAGAGAAATCAAGACAGCAGATAATGATTAACATTGCATTTAAATTTTTGAGGATCAAAATTAGCTGGAAAGCAAGAAGCCAGAAGAAAGTTCCACAGGCGAGAAGTGTGAGAAAAGAAACTGTTAGCATAGAACTTAGTTACATCTAGTCACTTCAACTGTAAAATGATGAGACCTTGTTGCCAATCTAGTACCATGCTTAAATTTATAAATAGGTACCATACAGCAAAGTTCATCAGAAAAATTACCATGAAAGCATTAATAGCAAAGGCACAGGAAAGCGACATTATGGAGGTGAAAAATAACTGAAACTGGGATGCCAGGTCAGGACCAATAATATTACATATTCTTCTTTGGATTTTATCAGGAATATCTAAATATATAGCAGGGCCAACAGACCAGATGTGGCAGCAATATTCAAAGCATGGACAAAATGGTAGATTTATATGTAAGTTAGATACTGGAGAAAAATATTGCCTAGCACAACAGAATTAACCCACATTCCTAACAGCAGACCTAACAATTGATTCAATATAATCTTTCCACTTCATGTCAGCCAAGAATGTAAGCCCTAGAAAGCACAATGAGGCTTTCTCTTGGAGGTTAGCACCAGCCACATTGATGTAGCAGCAGTATTCAAAACAAAGACAAATGGTAGACTTAGAAATATGTAGGATAGATTCTGAAGAGAAAAGTGAACCAACTTTCTTAGCAGCAGACCTAGCAATTGATTTAATATAATCTTTCTACTTCCTGTCAGTAGAGAATGTTAGTCCGAGAAGATGCAATGAGTCACTCTCTTGGAGATTAGCATCAGTCAAAAAGGGTTCACGCAGATGATTAATAGAAAGCAGGTTTGTGAATTTTGGGGACTCACTTTAATTACTTCTTTATGCTTTAGCCAGTTCATTCTTCTTCAGAGAGAATTATCCTAATAAATCAAGGGGACATAATTCAGCCCACTCTACTAGAACCCACAATGAAATACAGTAAATGAACTAACAAAAAGGAATACAAAGTCCAGAATATAAGAATATGTTGGAATAAAAGTGTAAATTGAAAAATTCATTTAAAATTAATTTGCTTTCAGAACAGCCAAAAAACTAAGTGAGTAGAAGTTTGAATAAATGAACAGGTTGGAATAAACAGACAAGTTTTAAAAAAAGTGAAAATAAAAATTATGGGATATCTGGAATAACAGTGGGTAGGTTGAAAAAATCAAATATGTCCTTCTATTCCAGATGTGAGAGTAGAATGGTCATTTTTGGTCTTCTTCAGAAGACTAAAGAATGAACTCGTCAAATCTTTGTTTTTTGTTTCTTTTTGCAAAGTAATAAAAGATATAATAATAAGCAAGTTTGTTGGTCACATACCAAAAATGCCTTCCAAAAGCTAAACAAAATATTCAGAATCTGGAAAAATTTTGTTAGAAACAAAGAAAAGTGTGCTGAAATGCTATGTAATATCAATCATCATATATAGCAGTGAGTGGTAGACAATTTCCTAACAGATGAAAAAGAGAATCGAGACAATAGAAATGTCATTCTACAGAAGAACACTCAGAATATCATGTATGGAGCATGTGAGCAATGAGGAAGTTTTAAACAAAATGGAAACAAAAAGGACAGAAAGAAACAGTTCAAATTTCTGGGACACACAATGAGAAAAGTGTGAAAGAAAAAGGAAAACAGTAAATAACCTACCTCACAAGAACAGAACAGGCAGTGGGAGGTATAGTCAGGCAACAAATATTGCTTAGAGATACAAAAAAAAAGGAAGTTGTGGTGAGCCGTGATCGCTCACCACCTGAAGCAACATGGCACATAGAAAAAAGAATCTCCTACCATAATTGTATTAGTAGAAAAATACAATGCAACTCGCTGTTCTGTTGTTAATAGCCTTCACTTTCAACAAGATATTGAATGGAGGGTGCAAGAAAAGTAAAACAAAGAACAAGCTTTTCTATTTCAAATCATCAATCTACACATAATGAGGAAAGAAGGCTTGGAAAATCTAATCCTCACAGCACATACTGAAAGCAAAAGGGATAGAGGGAAACAGGGCTTGTGTAAATGGATGGCAGAACAGGAGGGATGATGAAAAGACAAACCTTATTAAAAACTACAAAGGATAGGAAGCTGTGGATAGCCATGATTGCCCACATCCTGAAGGAAGAAACCAATTTTGACAACATAAATAAGATGGGGAGGAAGAACTCAGTGTAATGAATGCTTTACTGGTTGTATCTACAAGATAATACCAGAAATTGCTGGAAATATGTCTAATTTAGTAATTTTAAGTAATTTGGACTAAATAAAGGGCTCATTTTGAAATTCCAACGTATACAACCTGAAGAAGGCTGAAGCATACAACAGCCGAAACATTGTGAATATGGCAATATAAATGAGAACAACAGTCTAAACAATGTAAATAAATGTTACCAAATATGACTCGCTTTGATCATAAAACGCTGTTGAATATACTTCAATGTTTAACAACTTTATTAAATGCAAACTAATGCTTTCAAAAAGGTTCTTTTGATACGAAAGTTTTCATATTTGTGTTTATCTATGTTCATAACAAAATTACTTATAAAAGATACAGGTTACTCTTAAGAAATGCTAGAGTCCATGGATTGCAATGGGGTACTCTACTCAAAAGTAAGCCCACTGTGTTTTATCTACGTCTCCGACTAAGCCTCTCAGATAATGTAATCGGGCTGCAGCTGTGTCCAGGGATTATGTTTTACTGTTGGAACCATAAATCTTGAGCTTTGAACATGATAAATGCCTCCTGATTCAGTAACTCACAATAAAATGACTGGTTGTAAATTATTGCTGTGAAGTCACTACTTGTTCAATTGGTTTTTAATTGCATATGCTTTGTTTAAAAGGAAGTGAGTCATTGCACAGACTGTCACCGCCATCAACATTGTATATTCATTTGGTTACACATTGATTTATCGGCTATTTAGTAGGGGTTCATTAGTGAAATTGATGTACGCCTGTGTGTTGAAGTAGAACCAAGATAAAAGTTATTGTTAGTGTTTTCATGAGTGCGTGACATTGGAAGTGAATGAATAAAAAACTACAGTCAAATTTGATCTTTATCATTATTCATAGTTACTATCATTTAACTATTAAGTGTGAATGCCATGGAAAGAGACGAATAGATAGATATAGAAACTATGTATATAAGAACTAAAATTTGATCATTGTTCATAGTTACTAACACTTAATAGATAGAAATTGATACTATATAGGTAAAGCTAAAATTTGATCTTTATCATTATTCATACTATCATTTGCCTGTTAAGTTTGAATGTCACAGAAATAGACTGATAGATATTGATACTATATAGATGAAAAGTAACATTTGATTTTTATCATTACTCATGCTTACTATTACTTACCTATTAAGTTTGTATGTCATTGAAATAAATTAATAATATAAAAATAAAGTTTTTAATATACAATGTCCTTAATGAATAGATAACAACTTAAAAAGATTTAATTCATTCAAATTCAAATCTTTCTAATTATTAATCAACAAAGTTACAGCTTTTAGGAAGACAGAAGACAGTTATTGCAACACCAAAATCCAAAGGCACATTGAAATAGTGTAAGTGGCCTTCCAAAAGTATGAAGAAACAGGAAGATTTTGTTAGAAACAAAGAAGAGTGATGAACTTTTATGTAATATCAATCCTCCTATGTGGACAATGTCACTTACGGATGCAGAAAAGACTTGAAGAAATAGAATTGTAGTCCTACAGAAGGATGCTGAAAATATGTGGACTGAACATGTGAACAAGAAAGTTTTAGAAAAAATGGAAGCAAAAAAAGACACTTATACTTAAAATCAAAAAGTGACAATTGAATTTTCTGGGGTGCATAATGAGGAAAAAGAGCTTTGAAAATTTGATACTCACAGGGCATGGTGAAGGCAAGAGGAAAGCAGTGAATAACCTACCTAACAAGCTTGTGTAAATTGTTGGTAGAACAGCAATTAGGAAAAATAGCATTGCTAAGAGCTACAAATGAAAGAAGTTGTGAAGAACCAGGATTGACCACATCCTGAAAGTATACAGCATATAGAAGAAGTTGTTAGAAATTTTATACTAATCAAGTAACACACTGTAGAAAAGGGCCAAGCATTTTTCTTTTAAATATTTGCATGT